GGGTACAGGGGGTAGGGGGCGGGAGCGACTCAGGCTGCCACATCTTTCTGCCCAGGATCTCATCTCACTGCACTGGATGTTATCAAGTTGAGGCCACTTCCATGTGAAGTTACCAGCAGACAAGGCACAATTAATATGGGTGCAATTGGTCATGTAACTCATGGGAAATACACAGGTATAAGAGCTGTTTCTGGAGTTCACATTGTCAGGTTCAAAAATGAACTAGAAAGAAATATTACAATCAAGCTTGGATATTCTAATGCTAACATTTATACGCTTGATGACTCAAGTTGTCCTCCGCCAGAATGTTACAGGTCCTGTGGAGGTAGCACACTTCATGACTTTCCTACAGACATTCCTGGGACCAAAGGGAACTTCAAATTAGCCAGACATGTTTCCCTTGTCGTCTGTCCTGGCCACGGTGTTTCGATGGCTACCACACCGAACCCTGCAGCAGTGATGGATGCAGCTCTTCTGTTGACAGCTGGCAATTAGTCTTGTCCTCGGCCTCATACTTCTGAACATTTGGCTGCTGTAGAAATGAAACTAAAGCATATGTTGAGTTGACAAAATAAAATTGATTTGGTAAAAGCAAGCCTGGCTAAAAAACAGTATGAACAGATCCTTGCATTTGTGAAAGGTACAGTAGCCCCAAGGAGCTCCTATTATTCCAATTTCTGTTCAGCTAAAAAACAATATTGAAATACTTATTATTAGCTCCTTTGATGTCAACAAACCTGGCTGAGAAGTTGATGGCTCTGCTGGGGGCGGGAGTAGCTGGTGGTCGTATTCTAAAAGGGGAATTAAAGGTGGGCCAGGAGATAGAAGTCAAACCTGGTATTGCTTCCATAGATGGTGAAGGAAAACCTGTATGTGGATGAAAAGGGGCCACGCGCTAACCTGACAGGCTCAGGGCAGGCCTGCGTGGAGGCCTTGCAAACTCAGAGGCCTAAAATAACCACAAAGGATGGTCTGAAATTAAAACTTTTTAAACATAAGCAGTTTGTGGTGGGTAGTAACGCCCTAAGGCAGTATATTTCCTTCACAAAGGTTAATTTTCACTTTAAGCCTGTGGGTTGTCTTTTGCATCTCAGATAACATACCTAATACATACCTTTGCAAAACAGTCATTTCCCCTTTTTCCGGGCGCTCAGTGCACCAGGGCAGAGACCAGGAACCTTCTCATTGTTATTGATATCTTGTTAACTGTTGACTGTTAGCTATCCTGTACCCACCTATGTAAAAGAAGCGTGTATTTATCATTTTACTTTTTTTTTTTTTTTAGTATGTCTTTATTGATTTCAGAGAGAGGAAGGGAGAGGGAGAAATAGAAACGTCAATGATGAGTTATTGGCTGCCTCCTGCAGACCCCGACTGGGGATCAAGCCCGAAACCTGGGCATGTGCCCTGACGGGGAATTGAGCCTCAATTTCCTGGATCCTAGGTCGATGCTTAACTGCTGAGCCACGCTGGCTGGGCATATCATGTTACTTTTTATCCAATCCCAGAGCTTTCCCTGCTTTGCTTTCTCCCACCTCCCTAATCTATCACTATTGGATTTCATGTAACCCACTTAGGTCTCCCCCTTTGATTCTAGTGTATATAAAACAAACTGCAAAACTGCCATTCTCTGGAGCATTACCTCAATCCTTTGAGGTACTGGCTTCCCGACAATTGTCAACATTTGGCTCAAATAAACTCACAAAAATTATTCACAATTCTTAATATTTGAGTGATTTCCTACGTTAACACGTGTAAACTAATTTTTTTCCAAAATTGAGTCACTGTTTGCAAAACATAATAAACTTCAGTATGACGCTCCAGCAGGTTTTATGGGAGTTAGAACAAAAAACAACCCCACTTCCTGCCAGGCTGACAGAATGGTGGGTCAGGTACATGGTGCAGTTGGGGTTTTCCTGAGATCTTCACAGAATTGGAAATCTCCCATTTCCTGCTTAGACGGTTTCTAGGTGTGTGCTCTGAAGGGGACAAAAAACAGCAAACACACAAAAGTTGTCTAAGAATGAAGTGCTCGTGGCGAACATGGGATCCCTGTCAAAAGGAGAGAGTTAGTGCCGTCAAGGCCGACCTGGGCAAAATTGTTTTGACTAATCCTGTGTGCACAGAAGTAGAAGAAAAAATGGCCCTTAGCTGAAAAGCTGAGAAACACTGGTGCCTAATTGGTTGGGGTCAAATAAGAAGAGTGACAAGCCAACAATAGATGACTGAAAAATGTGAAAAAGTCTGATTTTCTCTTAGCCAGGGTATATTTTCAAAGCATTGCTGGGGAATGAATTTCACAGCTCATCGCCTTAGTAGTAGCTGTTATTCTCATGTTTGGGTGATTAAAATTTAACCTCTAGTTAAATTTTAAACTTAAAATAGTGTCTACAATAAATGCAAAAGTTGACATAATGTTAGATTGACTCTACCAGAAATTAATCATTCCCCCAAAAATGTCTAATTTATATATCAACGCGGGTTTGAAGAAACGGTGTGCTCTGACCAGCTTCTGCTGCGGCATGCACGCCACAGGACCTGTTTGAAACAGTCTTTCTCCTTACATTCAACGTTCGCCTTTGAGCAGCTCCAGGCTTGAAAGGATTGTTAGACCAGTAAAATCCCGAAGGCACGAATTCTTAAAGACCAGCTTCCCTTTGCCTCATAGTTTGTTTCTCTATCTTCGCAATTTTGAGAGAAAATAAATTAATAGATTCAAATAAATTACCCTTTAGAGCATGAGGAAAAAGAATTTCAGTTATTTTCTCCCACCTCCTTCACAACCCTCTAACCCCTACCTCTGCACCCCCCCCCCCAAGGATGACTAGCTTTGGCTTTGGGGAACAGCAAGGGGAACCACACTGCAGGACTTCCCAGCAGGAGGGCTGGGCTTACTGGCAGGCAGGAGAATGTAAACAAGGATGTGTTCGGAGGAGGAAATTCGAGTTGAAAAGATGATGGAAGTCCTTAGACATATGGTTAGTAACAGGAAATTGAGAAGCATTTTAGCTGAATTGAGACACACCAAAAGTAGTTTTTCAGACAAGGTAGTCTGGCATGATGTCAAGAGGGGAGGGCTAGTTAGGAAGTTGTTGCATGAATCCAACATGAGGTACCAAGAGCCAGTTTTAGGGTACCGGCTATGAGAACTGGAAAAAGGGACATTGAGTCAGGCTGGCGTGGCTCAGCGGTTGACCACTGACCTATGAACCAGGAGGTCACAGTTTGATTTCCCATCAGGCCACATGCCTGAGTTGTGGGCTGGATCCCCATTAGGGGGTGTGCAGGAGGCAGCTGGTCAATGACTGACTCTCCCTTATCATTGATGTTTCTCTCTCTCTCCATCTCCCTGCCTCTCTCTGAAATCAATAAAAACATATTTTAAAATGGGGAGGGGATTTTGAGGGATGGAACAACAGAGTTCAGTGACAGATTAGTCACTAGTAAAAGGACTTGACCTGGTGAGAACAAAATATCACTCTCAGGAGACAGCCCAGTCACTGCATCAATGTGCTGCTTGTTTGTACAGATGATACTTTGAGACTTAAATTGACCCCTAGGACCTGCCTTTTTCTTAATTTTTTAAATTTTATTTTAGTTGGTATACAATCTTATATTGTTTATGTTAGTTTCAGGTGTACAATATAGTGACTTGACATTTTTAAACCTTACAGTGTGATCACCCCACTAATTCTAGTAACAGTCTGTCACCATGTAAACTATCGCAATATTGACTATATTCCCCTTCCCCTTTTGCATTTTTCTTCAGTCATCTCATTTGCAGGGGAGAAGGGATGAACAAACTTGATATTCTGATTTACTCAGGTATCAGATGAGATATGATGAGACCAGAATGGGTAAAGGAGTTGAGTATATAGCAGGTAGTTACAGTAAGATGGGATGTGAAATACAGTGGAAGGAGGGTAAGATCAGCAGTTGAGATATACCGTATAGTATTGTCGAAACCAGGATGAGAGAGAGTGAGCTGGCAAAACTATAAGAAAACACATTGGAGATGTTAATCACCAGGAATAGAATATCGGTTACTTCTAGAAGGGTAGGAAATGCTGTTGAGGTGGAATAGAAGTGTGATTTAATTTTTGTCTTTTTTCAATTACAGTTGACATTCAATATTATTTTATATTAGTTCAGGTGTACAGTGCAGCGATTAGATATTTATATAATTTAAGAAGTGATTCCCCCTGATAGGTCTGGTACCCACCTGGCACCACACACAGTTATCACAAAGGACATGCCCTCTTTGAACAAGCAACAAAGACGGGAGTGGGGAAGTGAGAGTAACAGTCCAGCGGGAGTTCTCTACCGTAGTGTCTGGCATCAGCTACAGCCTTCCAGAAGACAACCCCAACTATGAGGGTATCGGAGATTGAGACCAAGGGCTTGGGGGTATGGGTGGTAATGAGAAGAAAGTTTCTTACGTTCTCTGCCTACCACACCCAATAAACAGGCCTCTCTCTTTTTTATGTGACCACTGTAAGCAGTACTCATTCAATTAGCGCAAGGAGTTAGATTGATTACAGTTGACTGGGGTCTGTCCCAAGTTCCTCCAGCCAGCTCAGGATGTCATCTGGCACATCAGGGCACCATGACTGTGGATTTCCCTTGAATAAACTTCTGAAGGCTACTTCACAGCCAGCCTCAGACTCACCATACTCTAGACCAACATGTTGGTTGGAGGAGGCAAAATGTCGAGGTGAAATCATTTTGAGCCAGTTATTAATTGCATTCATATGCTACTAACAGAGACCCAGCCACAGTGCATCCAACACACGAGTGCATTCCCTCAAGTAGAGGAGATCTGGAGTAGGCAGTCCAGGGCTGAGAGGACAGCGTCATCAAGGACTCAGGTTCCTCTGTCCTCAGAGTTGCCTCAAGATCCCTGTAGCTTCTACTGCACCAGCCGTCTCACCTCCTTTCCACGAACAGGGAGGGCAGAGGTTGGGCCCCAGGTGTCTCCCTTTTAAGGATCCTTTGTGGTAGATCACCCAATTCCACTTGGAATTTAGGTACAAGGCTGCACCTAGCTAGGAGGACACTGGAAAGCATGGTCATTCAGCTGTGAGCATTTCCAGTCTGGAAAAGGCTGGAATTCCGTAACTAGAGAAAATGAGTAATGGATTGGAAAATACAGCCTCTGCCACACATCCTCCCACGGGGCAGTGTTTCCACATACTTGGATGTGAACTCTGACCACTAATGGAGTGACCTTAGCTACATTCTCTCTCTTTCTCCCTCCCTTCCTCCCTCCCTCCCTCCCTCCCTCTTTCTCTCTCTTCCATTTTAACCTTTGTACCAAACATTTTACCCAGGTAGGAATCTAAGTGAAAATGCTGGACCAACTTTTCCTTTGCATAACTGGGGTTGTTAATAGGACTGAGAGTAGCACTTAAATGCTGAAATAAAATCAGTGATCCATGGCCCAGCTGGGCGTGGCTCAGCGGTTGAGTGTCAACCTAGGATCCAGGCGATCGGGGTTCAATTCCCGGTCAGGGCACATGCCCGGGTTGTGGGCTCGATCAATGACTCTCTCATCATTGATGTTTCTCTCTCTCTCTCTCTCTCCCTCTCCTTTCCTCTCTCTGAAATCAATAAAGATATATATTTTTTAAAAAATTAAAATCAGTGATCCAGGCTAAAAGAGAAAGTGATGCTAGAGAAGTGGTATCATTAACAAAGGGCTCAAAGTGAGCTCCCGGCACACACACATCATGAAGCTAATTATAATCAGATTGCATCCTCAGGGAACACATTAACTACCGGAAAGGACAGTACTACGTAAACTAATAAAAAATGAGTTTGAAAAGGAAAAGTTATTTCGATGAAAACTAAATGGAATGCTCAATAAAGGTGAGCCACTAAAAATAATCACTGTTCAATTAGATGTGGGCAAAAGAAATATATAAGACTGGGAAAATCATTAAACAGCTGAAGGATCAGATTCTTTGCAGGTGTCTTTAAGTTCCCACTCCCCTTCAGAGAACTGAAAATGGAAATCACAGACAGTGCGTTATAGTGTGGTGATAGGTAGGTCCAATCATTTTCTGACTCTTCATCTGGAAAGTATTGAATGAATATGCACTTGTATGTTTTAAGTTAAAATGCATTGTTTAAGGTAAGTATGTGATATTTTATTCTAACTCCAACTTTGATGACATGGAATAAAAAGCCTTCATCTTTTAGCGCTAAATGAAGAATAAATATCTCCATGGAGCACCCTGGAAGTTGTGTTTAGTGTCTGGTCTTTGCTGGCACACAAAGCTCTTGCCTATACAAATTCTGGGGTCCCAACAAGTCTGAGACATCGTTCCACCTGGGCAATGGTGCTCATTTGCAGACTGTGACTACCCCATCTTCTCCTCGCCCCTTCCCCTTTTAGTGAAGTATAATTGACAAATAAAATTGTAAGACAGTGAAAATAAATGTCAGGTCTTTGACGCAATGTCTATTTTTGTTAAAATTTCACTTTTCATTGGCCTACTTTTCGTTTAGGTTTAGTGTAACCTTTTGAAGTCCAAAGGAGAGATATGGTTTTCTTAAGATTTCTTGGAGTACAACTGTAGTCTTAGTTTTTCGACTCAACTCTAGGTGAGAAATTCTCAACAACAGGGTGGTCTCTAAAACCAGGAGAGAAAGAGTCCCCTTCGAACAACTGCCAGGCAAGACAACAGTAGTCAAATAAGATACTCCTGCAACGTGCCTCTAACAGGCTACCAACGTGAACAGTAACCGCACACCTCCTCCCTCCTGCAGTTCAATACATGGAGAAGTCCGAACCCATGACTGGTCTGCTAACAGAGAAGGCGCAGAACAAGGCAGGGAAGTAGAAGCCCCCGACCAGCTCCGCACCTGTCTCCCCCTGTGGGCTGCTACAGGCCTGCACCGAACGGGGAAGCCTCAACTGTAAGTCAGAGTCAGGGTTTTATTATATAGGACTGGGCATTTCAGACTGAGCCTGTGTTCTGACTTAAAGTGATTATATGACCTTTTGTTACCTAAGAATTAAAAAAAAAAAAATCAAGGAACCAGCATTTTGTTCCAGGGACAAAGAAAAAACAAACCCATGAGGCCAATGTAAAGACACAATGGGTGACAAAAGGGAAGTCACATTATGATCACATCCCAAGAGTCACACTGTTACTTAATGTGCTAGTTACTCAATGTGCTAGTAACACATCAACAAAAACGTCTACCAGACATTCCCCCTTATTTCTGGCAGCTGAGTGTAACTCCAGGTTTCTAGCACTGATGTGGGTATTTTTGCCCTGAGTCACTTCAGTGGGGATTTAGGAGTTTACACAACCATCTTGCCTAGGAGCACCCACCCCCAGCCAAATGTGACCTTCAAATTTAGAAAGTAGTTGGCAGATTTACAACTTAGGTTCTCCTAGACACCTTATGGCTTCCTTGGTTGTTTTTGAACATTTCTTGAAATTCTCTTGGAAGAGTGTGAAGAGTATCAAACATCAGCTGCTCCGGCAGATGAGCTCCTGCCTCTTCGGGGTTTACATCCCCAGCACGGTCCAGCATGCGCGTTCCCTGTCTTCCTCTCCATCAGCTGCAGGATGGGAAAGAGAATGAGAGAGGTGGTTTTGGGCGCAGCCTTGAAATGCCATACACCCCTCTGCCCACATCCCATCATCTGGAACTCGGCCACCTGGCTACATTAGACTGCAAGGAAGAGGGACCACGGAGCTCACCTCTATGACCAGGAAGAAGAGGAATGGACTTGGTGAGTACTTAACAAGTCCAGTCACAAATATATATATATATGAGATTCTATAACTAGTAAATGTTAAGATGTAAATTAATATTCAGAAGATATCAAGAAATGTGATAACATAATTCTACTAGCTGTGTAGGGGCGGACAGTTTTTCCCCTCTACCCTTCTAGGTTCTTTTGACTGGCTTAATAATTAAGTTAACATAGATAAACTGGAGAGAAAAAAATTTTAATCTTGTGTGTGCAGGAGCCCCAAAGATATGAGACTCGAGGGCAAAGCAGGCAGTTGAGGTTCATATGCCGTCCTGAGCTCTGGAATGGGGGAGTAGGAGCCTGGGTCTTCAAAAAAGAGGAGGGTCGCCCGGCTGGGCGTGGCTCAGTGGTTGAGCGTCGACCTAGGATCCAGGCGATCAGGGTTCGATTCCCAGTCAGGGCCCATGCCTGGGTGGCTGGCCGCAGCTGATCAATGACTCTCTCATCATTGATGTTTTTCTCTCTCTCTCTCTCCCTCTTCTTTCCTCTCTCTGAAATCAATAAAGATACATTAAAAAAAAAGAGAGGAAGGTCATTCACAGGACAAAGAAGGAATGTTTGGTAATTAGATGTTTGCCCTGCCACACAGATAGGTTTTATAGATAAAAAGTTATTTCTGATAATAGTACTCATTGTGGGCCTGGCCCCCTATGTAAATTCTTTGAAGTAAATAAGAAAAAGGTAAACATTTTTCTTGAGTCTGCTGGGCCTTGATTGACTTCAGCTCAGATTCATCTACATGCCAAAGTGGCACATTTTGGAGTGGCATATTCTGCTCTCCTTCAGCCGCTTGCTATAGCATTTAGAAATGCAGTAAATGCATGAGTTACTGAATGCCTAATGGCCTTTTTTTTTTTTAATCCTCACCTGAGGATATTTTTTCCATTGCTTTTGAGAGAGAGTGGAAGGGGGGGCAGAGAAACACATCAATTGGTTGCCTCCTGCCGACCTGGGCGGGGATTGAGCCTGCAACCAAGGTACATGTCCTTGACTGGAATAGAACCCGGGACCCTTTAGTCCCCAGGCTGACGCTCTAACCACTGAGCAAACTGGCTAGGGCCCTAATGGCCTATTGTTATGACCAACATTTGGTTAAAGACACATAGAACCATCACAGAAGGAACTTTAGAAATTCAAGAATAATTCTGAAGCTGTATCTAAAATAAATAAAATTATTCTATTAAAATATTTAGAAAAATATTTAGTAGTAACAGTTTAAATTTAGTTTTATTTTAAATATATATATTTTTATTGACTTCAGAGAGAAGAAGGGAGAGGGAGAGAGATAAAAACACAAAAGATGAGTCACTGATCAGCTGCTCTCCTGCACACCCCCTGCTGGCCATATGCTCTGACCTGGAATCGAACCTTGATCTCCTGGATCATAGTCAATGCTCAACCGCCCAGCCGGGCTTTTTAATGCCTTCTAATAAGATTCCTGTACAGAACAGGAATTCCTGTTCATTTGCTGTTTTTCCTGTATACCTTGCTCATTCCTGTTTTCAGTGTCTGAGGCCTTGGAACACTTCCTGGCCCTTGCCAGTCTCTTCTTCTAGGGGCTGGATCCCCTTCTTCGTGAAGGGCTTACTCCTGGGGTCCTAGTGGAATGGAACTAACCACCACAGAGCCCCACCCCCATCCTGCTTTACTTCCACCTCCAGGGCTCCCTCACTGCTGAGAATGGGCCTCTGGAAACTTTTGTTTGCTTAAACACACCTAAGTTTTCCATGCTTTCCAAGGCCTTGGATAGTCCTGTTTTCCTTATTAAGAAAGACTCTGTGGCCCTGGCCAGTGTGATTCAGTTGCCTGAGCATTGTGCCATGCACCGAGGTCGCTGGTTCCATTCCGGGTCAGGGCACATACCCAGGGTTTGGGCTCCATCCCCAGTTGGGGATGTTCAGGAGGAAGCAGATTGATGTTTTACTCTCACATTGATGTTTCTCTCTTTCCCTTCCTCTCTCTCTAAAAATAAAAAAAGACTCTGTAGCCCCTTTTAGTTTGCCTCCTACCCAGACCTGCCCTCCCTACCTTTTGGCTGTTCCTCTGTCTGGGCAGAAACACTACTCAACTGTCTGGAATCGTTTCGCTATATGAAGTACTTCATTCCTAGGAACAAGACAACCTTCCCATGTCTAAGCTTTCTCCTGCCAAGAGGAAGACTTGTTATTCCGGTCAAGAGCCTATGGGCACGACATGAGGATGTCCCAATAGGAGACACTTAGGTTTACCACATCAGTCTGATGAGATTAAACACACCTTATGTCATTCTCTGCAGTGGTTGTACTGTTATTTTGCTAAAGGTTGCTAGTATTGCTTATGTACCTATGGGAAGCCTGTTGTGAATGTTTAAGAGAGCGGAGTCTGAAATCAGCTTAACTTCATCCAAGTTGAGGTTTTACCTCTTGCCTGCTGTGGGGACTAAGGAAACAATGCACACTAAGTGCCCAGCAAAGGGTTAGCCATCACTTCCCATCTCTCGTTCTGTCTACACCTTTCCCTGTATTCTATTTGCTCTCCAGAAACCCAGCGAGATCTCAGATTTCCAAGTCTCCCACTGGGTAACGCACCTCATACAGACTTCAACCTGCTCAAGAGGGATGAGCCTGGCTTTGATCTGGAACATTCTAAGGCATTCCATTTGGGCTTCATCAGTCCCTTCTCTTGACCGCAC